CCCCCCCTTTTTTTTTTTTTTTTTTTTTTCCTCAGGTGCTCTGTCCCAGGGAGTTAGGGATTTATTTATTAGTTTCCCTTGTGCTGCTGCCTTTTTTTTTTTTTCTTTCAGGGCTGCCCTGACCAGCAAGGAGGCAGCCTAGTCACCCTCTGGCTGGAGAGGCTTTACTGAGCTGCTGTGGTCTCCACCCAGCTGCCGTGTGATCTTCCCTGCAGTCCTGTTTATATGGGTGTAGTTAGAACTGCCTTGGCAATGGTGGCCCGCCTCTGTTATGGCAGACTCTCTCTGTAGTGGCAGGTTGCCTCGGCAATGGCGGGCTGCCTCAGCCGTGGTCAGACTCACTCCGTAGTGGTGGAGTGTCTCAGTAATGGTGGACGCCCCTCCGCCACAGAGCCGGACCATCCCGGGTTCAGCTGTGCTTGCTGTGAAACTCTCAACCCAGAGCGTTTTCAATTACTGGTTTTTTTTGGGGGGGTTGGGGGGATGGGGAACAGCCAAGCCTGATCACCTGGCTCCCTGACTCAGAGTATTTTTTTTTTCGTTGAATGGTTTACTCTCTCCTATGTGTTCCAGCCACCTGTTCAAAAGGCACCAGGATCTCCCATGCCACGACTCACTGAGCCGGCTGAAACAGCAGCGCTGAGATTCCTGGCGGGTTTTTTGCCTAGGAAGCTCCTGGCCTGGCTCGCTATTTCAGATGAATGGGTGACTCTGCTGTCTCCGGGCTTCAATCGCCAGCTAAGAGGGCACCCGGAGCAGTGTCTTTTGTACGGAGAGCCGCCACACCAGGGCGTGGGTAAAGCAGCCCCGCAGGCCAAAACATTTGCGCTGGTGACTAGTAGGGATCCTCCGCCTGGGAATCTCCTGGTCTGTGGGCAATAAAAATCCGTCTGGAAATGCAGCGTCCACTCACCCTCTGCACTTTCACTGGGAGCTGCAATCCTGAGCTGTTCCTATCAGCCATCTTCCCCCGATCTATTCTTGAAATTCTAAAGCTCTGTGATCATGTTATAAGACGTGAAATTCAGTATATCAGAAAACCAATTTACTAATCCTTTCCTAATTCTTATCCATGTTTACTTTTGGGAAATCCAGTGCTTATATATTCTCTAAAATTTCTGCAAATCTTAAAATAACTTTATTAACAGAGTTTTTCATTGTTATCCTGAAAGCTTAAAGTAAGCATTTTATAAACATTGAGCAATATGTTACTTCTAAAATAACAATCTTTTTTTTTTTTTTTTTTTTTTTTTTGAGATAGAATCTCGCACTGTTGCCCGGGCTGGAGTGCAGTGGCACAATCTCAGCTCACTGCAACCTCTGCCTCCCGAGTTCACGTGATTTTCCTGCCTCAGCCTCCCAAGTAGCTGGCATATAGGCGCACACTACCACACCCAACTAATTTTTTTTTTATTTTTAGTAGAGACGGGATTTCACTATGTTGGTCAGACTGATCTCGAACTCCTGACCTCATGATCCGCTGCCCTGGGCCTCCCAAAATGCGGGGATTACAGACATGAGCCACCATGCCCGGCCTCTGATTTTCTTATCTATTATTTTAGCATTCGAAAGAAAAATAAAATGGAATCAACATATGATTATATTATATTTTTACTTAATATTAATTTTATTTAATATGCCCCATCTTTAAATCAAACCATATCTTTTTATAAAGTACTTAGTTGCCATATACATTTTTACTACTCTTCTTTTGTATGGTTCTTATCTTCACTTTATGGAATGTATCTTCTTAAAAAGTTATAATTGTTTGATTTATGCTGTTAGCAAAAGGCTTTGTTTTCATTCACAGCTTATCACTGGTTTCTATAATTGGCATGAAAATGTGACTGACCTACCTCTGAATTGATGTTTTTAAATGAATATGTTGGAATCTTTGGGAATTTTCTTTTTATATCTTTCTATAGAGAAAAGGAAAAAAAGTAGGACATGATTCATGATTGCATTAATTTGTTCTGTTCATTGTGTTATATTCCTAAACAATGTTATTTTTTCCCACATAGGAATTGAATACCAGCTTTGAAGAGTGGAAAAAATTAATGAGAACTCCAAATTCAAGTGCCATGGAGACAGTCATGGGGTTGATAACTCGCATGTTTAAACAAACTGCTATTGCCAAGGTACTCTTTGCTGGGTCATCATGTATTTGTCTTCATACAAATTATTCAATATATGTTACTGTTTTTAATTAAGCAGGTTATTTGTGTATTTGCAAAATTTCTTTGCCATTGTTTAATTCTTTTTTCTTTTTTGAGTCAGGCATCTCACTTTGTCGCCCTGGCTGGAGTGCACTGGCATGATCTTGGCTTACTGCAAACTCTGCCTCCCGGGTTCAAGTGATTTTCCTGCCTCAGCCTCCCAAATAGCTGGGACTGCAGGCGCATGCCACGATGCCCAGCCTGTTTAACTATTATGGAAAAATTCAGACTATTCAAAGTAACCAGTAATGCTATATCTAACCATATATTCATCTTTTCCAATATACAGGGTGTATTTTGATGAAAGAGAATAATATACTTTATACTTTCTCATTTAAAGGACTTATGTATATATATTCATTTTTTTTTTTTGTTTTTAAAGAGTCTTGCTCTGTCACCCAGGCTAGAGTGCAGTGGCTCAATCTCAGCTCACTGCAACCTCCGCCTCCTGGGTTCAAGCAATTCTCCTGCCTCAGCCTCCCAAGTAGCTGAGATTACAGACACATGCCTCCACACCTGGCAAATTTTTTTTAATACTTGTAATAGAGACAGGTTCCACCATGTTGGCCAGGCTGGTCTTGAACTCCTAACCTCAAGTGATCCACCCACCTCGGCCTCTGAAAGTGCTGGGATTACAGGTGTGAGCCACCGCACCTGGCCTACATTTATCTTTATTATTAGCATTCCCATGGTTTTACTATATTATTACTGCAAATAATCTTTTTTTATTTGTCAGTCATCTTCCAATGATATTCTGTGTTCAGTACCCTACAGAGGTAATTGTGCTCACATTCTGTTTGTCTAAAAGTGAAAATATATAGGATTTTAGAATTTAAGTCTTAGTATAACTGTCAAGTAAACTGATCATATGTTTGTGGTAGTTGTTGTTTTGACCACCATAGTAAACCTGTAAATACTGAGGAGTGTCACCCTGCTTAATTCTGAGACTTTTTTTGTAACAATTTTTTAAGTTGAGGATTATTGAGGTCTATTTACATGAAATGAAACTTACCCTTTTAAAATGTATGGTTGGGCCAGAGGTGGTAGTGTGCCTGTAGTCCTAGTTACTTGGGAAGCTGAGGGGGGAGGATCCTTTAGCTCAGCAGATCAGGGCTACAATGAGCTATGATCGTGCCACTGTACTCCAGCTTTGCAACAGAGCAAGACTCTGTCTATAGAATAGAATAGAATAGAATAGAATAGAATAGAAGTGATTGGATGAGGCTTGACAAATGCGCGTAGTTAGGTAACCACCACTGCCATGAAAATACAGATATTTTCTGTCATGCCAAAAAGTTCCCTCATGTCACTTTGTAGCATTTCCCCTCCACGCATCTCTATACCTTGGCAATCACAGATCTGCTTTCTGTCACTGTCGTTTTACACTTTCCAGAATGTCACAGAAGTGGAAGAATAGCATGTAGCTTTGTGTCTGGCTTCTTTCACTTAGTATAAAGCTTTTGAGATTGATTCAAGTTGTTGTATATGTTATTACTTTTTCCTTTTTATTGCTTACCTTACATCCTCCAGTGTATGGGAACAAAGCTTAGAAACATTTTTTTTGAGAGACAGGGTCTTGCTCTGTCACCTAGGCTAGAGTGCAGCGGCACAATCACAGCTCACTGCAGTTTTGAACACCTGGGCTCTAGGGATCCTTTTGCCTCAGCCTCCCAAAGTACTGGGATTACAGTTGTAGAACTCTTAGACAAGGGATTTAAAATAGCTATGAACAATATGTTAAAGAATCAAATAGAAAAGATAAACAACATGTTTGAAAAGATGCAGAATTTTAGAAATAGTATGAAAATTATAAGAGTAAAATGGAAATGTTAGAAATAGAAAACACAGTATCAGAGATAAATAAAATTTCTTTGGTCAGCTTATAAGCCAATAGTGAAGATAAAATGTAATCATAAAAAATCTTGCTGGGTGTGGTAGCTCACACCTGTAATCCCAGTGCTTTGGGAGACTGAGGCAGATTGCTCAAGCCCAGGAATTTGAGACCAGCCTGGGCAACATGGCAAAAACCCATCTCTACTAAAAATGCAAAAATTAGCTGAGTGTGGTGGCACATGTCTGTGGTCCCACTACTCAGGAGGCCGAGTTGGGAGAATCACTTGAACCCAGGAGGCAGAAGTTGCAGTGAACTGTGATCATGCCACTGCACTCCAACCTGGACAACAGAATGAGTGAGACGCTGTCTCAAAAATTAAAAAATAAATGAAATAAAATAAAATTCATCAATTATAATATTTGGCCAGGCACAGTGGCTCACACCCGTAATGCCAACAGTTTGAGAGGTTGAGGTGGGAGGATTACTTGAGGCCAGGAGTTCAGGACCAGCCTGGCCAACATGGTGAGACCCCATCTCCAATAAAAAATAGAAAAATTAGCTGGGTGTAGTGGCTGATGCCTGTAGTGCCAGCACTTTGGGAGGCCAAGGCGGGTGGATCACTTGTGGTCAGGAATTCAAGATCAGCCTGGCCAGTGTGGTGAAACTCCATCTCTACTAAAAATATAAACATTAGCTAGGCACGGTGGTGTATGGATATAATCCCAGCTACTCAGGAGGCCGAGGAAGGAGACTTACTTGATCCCAGGAGGCAGAGGTTACAGTGAGCTGAGATGGTACCACTGCACTCCAGCCTAGGCGACAAAAGTGAAACTCTGTCTCAAAAAAAAAAAAATTAAACATTAGTTGGGCATGGTGGCACGTTCCTGTAGTCCCAGCTACTTGAGAGGCTGAGCTGGAAGGATCACTTGAGCCCAGGGTCAAGGCCCAGCTGATTTTTTGTATTTTTAGTAGAGACAGGGTTTCACCGTGTTGACCAGGATGGTCTCGATCTCTTGACCTCGTGATCCACTCGCCTCGGCCTCCCAAAGTGCTGGGATTACAGGCTTGAGCCACCGCGCCCGGCCCAAAGATAATTTAAAACTACCTGACGATGTTTTATTTTTAATATCTTGATAAGAATAAGAAGGAAAAATTCAAAGAAAATAATGAATTTTCAAGTAAATAGGTTTGTGTAAATATGCAGCTATTTATAGGATATGCTATTTTAAGGGCATATACTTAATCATTACTTACAGTAAAATGAATTCCTCATTATTCATGGTGTTTAATTTTTAAAAGGCTATAATTCTATAATAAATACATAAATGTATGAAGTATGAAATCTTGTTCTTGACAAACTGAGGAAATGAATACTTTCCCTATTCTTTTTTTAACACTGTTCACTAATTGTGGTTAGAGAATTTCTAGGCACTGGGCCTAGAAAGGACCTCTGGGGGTCATCTTTCCTCTTCCTTTGCTCTAGGCAGAGTTATATGCCTAAAGCCTTCCAGACAAATGGGTCTCTATCTATCCGAATTTTATACATCTTCAGGATAAAATATTTCTTTCTCTGCTATAATCTTTTCTTTGCCTCATATCCTACACACTGTTGTAGGCAGACAGGAAAACGGTACAGCACTTCAAATTAGGTCATATCAGCAAATTAGGTCATATTGATAATAAATTTTAATATGTACAGTACTATGCTACAAAATTATAATATTGGCATGTATTATTTATGTGCTGTATAAACACTTATGCTAGTCTACCTTTTGAAGTACTTCTATTTCTTAAAAGGACAGAGTATATTTTAAGTACGTTTGGTATCTCCTTAGTGGTGTTATTAGATTATCAAGGTCTCTTTTTCAGATAGGTCTTAATGAAAACAAATAATGGCAATGATAAATAGTAAAAAATGATGATAGGGAGGGCTGCCAATAGAATTGGGAAAGGGCCACAAAGAGAAAGAAACTTCCAGCTGAACTTTGTAATAATTTTGACTGAGTGCAAATATTCTTGGGCAGAAACCTGGGAAGGGGGTGGTGTGCAAGGAGAATGAAAAGTACAGATACAAGCACAGAAGCAGCTGTAGGCAGAGCCAGGGAGGCTTCTAGCCTGGGGCAAGAGCTGCCTGGATATAATCTCAGTGCTGTTGGTAGAGCACAATGGGATTGAGACTGGCCTTGCTGGCTGCCTGGCAGCTGGGTGAGGCCTGTCACTGCCAGCTTTCCCCCACGTCCCTGGCAACCTGTATGACACAGCAGAGACAGCCATAATTTTCCTGAGAACATAACCCCATTAGCCTGAGAACCACACTAACATCTCCCACAGTGGCTGCAGCAGTCCAAGCCCAAGGAGTCTGAGCTTGGACACAACTAACCCTGATCCCATGATGGTCTTCTCTACCCACCCTCGTAACAGAAGATAAAAGATATAATCTCTTAGAATCTCTATAGTCCTGCCGATCACCTGAAAAACTGGAATACTTATCCAGGCAACCTTAGAACAAGCTTGTATGCCCCCTATGCTGCTGCAACTGCTGCTCTCTTGAAAGTGACTCCTCCTGGCTGGAGGCCAACCAACTCAAGCCATTACAGCAATTCAGAACAACCCTGCTCCAAGAAAGGAGGAAACAACAGCTAATAACACTGCCTGTAGCATCCTGGATAACCAGAGCTCCTGAGTCTGTCCATGTGACAACTTGACTGCTAGCACAATCAGCATTAAAGAAAACCAGTGCACTAAACAAAACCACAACCAAGGACCATCACAGAGTCCATTTCACTCCCCCACTACCTTCACCAGAGCAATTGATGGTATACACAGCTGAGAGGCCTGAAGACGGATCACATCACAGGACTCTTTGCAGACAGTTCCCAGTACCAGCCCGGAGGCCAGTAGCTCCGCTGGATGGCAAGACCCATAAGAGCACTAACAATCACTGCAGTCCAACTCTCAGGAAGCCCCATCCCTAGGGAAAGGGGTGAGCACCACATAAAGGGATCACAGGGTTGTGGGACAAAAGAAGATGAACAGCAGCCCTTGATCCCCAGATCTTTCCTCTGTCATTGTCTACCCAAATGAGAGG